ATACTAATTGGGTTTGTACTTTGTGCATGTAAAAGTTAGACTTTGACCGTTACTCACGTGCACAACCACACATAGAACAAAGGTGATTTGAAAATAAAAACTACAAGTTGTGATAAGTTAATCTTAAAATTTAAATTAAACAACGTCACTATTACTAAGGATTTAATTAATTAGTAGATTGTGAGAATCCCATGAGGATTTGTCATTTAGGGAATTGGGGAATAAATCACCATAAATGCCAACAAAAATAAGAATTTAAATAGCGCGTTATAATATTTTAAGAAGTTGATTTGATAAATAAATAATTAAATTCCAGTCAAAGTCAATGAATAGAATAGAATAGTTCAATATCAACCAACTAGAAAACTAACTTGTTTTTTGCTTTGTTTGTATTTGGAAGTAAAGGGAGCTTTCATCCCTTTTATTTTCTATTTATTTTTAAGAGAAGGTCTCCTTATTTGTTGAAATATTATTTTCTCATATCTGTTCTAACATTTTTTAGAAGCAAAAATTGTAATTTCATACTTGGCATTTTTCTAACCTTTATAACCAACGTTGAAATTTTTGGGTCAGATATGAGAATTGAACTATTACTTTGATTTTTATAATCAGATTGAGACATCTAAGTTGTCCAAAGAAGATTTTTTTTTTCTATTCAAAAGCACATAATGTCTAAAATTCTAACAATTTGCTTACAAAAATTAAAACGACAAAGTTACAGCAAGTGGAATCTTTATTTAATACTAGAACATCATTTTAATGATATTCCTTCTGTAACTAAATAAATGAGTTTTATTTTTTTTTTAATGACAACTAGTATATAACTGTCAGTTTCTTGATTAAAGTAAAAAAATAAAAACAGCCTTAAAAATTCAAGCATATATGATCTGAATTAATTAGTAATTATCTTGATTGAATTTTTCTATACAAATTATTTTGAAAAAAAAACTTCTGTTTCATAATAACTAAGAGTTTTAGGACTCGTCAGCAAATAATTAATGCAGGACCATATTGATTAAAGCAACAAAAAAAGGTTTGACAAATTAATGTTTGCTTAGCTAAGCTAAGTAATGTATGATTATTCTTAAATAATATGCAAACAGAGGCACCTAATACTAATAATTGAATTCATGTTACAACAACAACAACAATCCAGTAAAATCTCATAAGTGAGGTTTGGGAAGGGTAGATTGGTCTCACGCCCCGAATGCAGACATGAAATGCAGCGTCCCCAACAAAAAGGACGTCAGTACGAAATAATGTACCAAGTATGTAAGGCAACAGAATATGGCCTCATCGGCCTAAGTTGAGGGTTACCCCTCCAGAGTTCACAGTTACATAGTAGTACGCTCGGGCCGAGTATGGCACCGGGTGCCAGTCTTCAGGTTTGAGGCGTGACAAGATTGTATGCAGACCTTACCCCTACTCTGGAGGGATAGAGAAGCTGTTTCCGAAGACCCTCGGCTTAAGAAGAAGAAAATAAACAATAGACAATAGATTAGTGTAGTGGCGTACGCAGAATTTTTCATAAGCGATGTCACTATTCTAGCAATAGATCCGTAATAGAATATGGCCTTATAGGCCTACGTTAATGGTTACTCCTCCAGAGTTCACAATTACAGAGTGGTGTGCTCAGGCCGAGTATGGCACCGGGTGCCGGCCATGCCTCTTCAGGTTTGGGGCGTGACAAGATTGTACGCAGACCTTACCCCCTACCCCAGAGGGATAGAGAGGCTGTTTCCGAAAGACCCTCGGTTCAAGAAGAAGAAAATAAACAATACACAATAGATCAGTCTAGTGGCGTACGCAGGATTTTTCATAAGCAATGTCACTATTTTTAAGTAATAGGCCCGTAACAGTCGAAAAATATTTTGTGGAGCTAAGGGAGTTCAAACCCAAGACCTCTCACATCAAAGTTGAAGCTATCAACCACTAGACTATTGAGTTGTTTCAATGTAAGTGTGTCGCTTTTAATGATTTTATCTTGTATTTCTGTTTCACTTATTATATATATATGGTAAAAACTTTCAACGAAGCGGTGTCCCGTGGCACTACTTGAGTCCATGTAAATCCACCCTAAGATCAGTGACAACATCATTTGGCTCTGTGTGTCATACCAAAATTATTTTGAAAATTTAATATTACTTTTATGCATTTAAAAAAACTAGAAAAAATTTAATTTGGTGTCACTGAATTTTCTTTATTTTTGTAAATGAAGCTCAGACTCATTAATTGAATATCAGGTTAAAAAATGTCAGATTACCAGTAATTAAGAATTTAGAAGGTTCATCCTCTAAAAGCCAAAGGACCATGAACATAATTTTTTCCATCAATGTGCTCATATTTTATTTTTATATTTTAATGTGCCCACATTGAACGCCACATCTATACGTTGACAAGGTCAAAGGGGCGATTTTTCTTTTTATTTAATTATTTTTGACTTGGTAAACGGTGGGAGTTGATTTAAAGTTAAGTCACATAGTTGGAAAGATTTTCATAATAAGTAGTGTATGACAATTTTTTTATTTTAATTTTTAAGGCACAAAGGAAATAATTTATAGTAGTATTTATTGCATTTCCCTCCAGTCATGATCGAAAATTCTCTTGGTTTATTGCAGTTTAGTGAGGAATGGAGTCTACATACACCTAGTTCTATTTATTTACAGTAAATTGTGATAAACAAGTATCTCACTGAGATAAAAAAGAATTAAATTTTTTTAAAAAAACAAGTATCTCACTAAGAATTTTCTAATTACTGGCATTTAAAATGTTGAAAATGAAAAAGAAGGAATTTTAAGCAAAGTATATATGAGGAGTTAGTAAAAATCAAGTTTAGACAAAAATTTATTAAAAAGTTTCTGTCTTGTTGTCTAAAAAATGTTATTTTTATCCCCCTAAAAGTGAAAATAATTTAAGTTGCTCGATTATATAAAGAATCAAATTCGAGATTTCTAAGCTTGTTTTGTATGACAGAGAAATAGCCTGATTTACGACTAGTAATTACAAATTAGCTACCGTTTCAAAAGTAATCAAAATTTAGCTACTTTTTCATGTAAAAATAAAATCTGAATAAAAATATCCTCAATAATACGAAAAAATTCCAGCATAATATACCGGAGTTCGAATTTTTTACATATGAAGTTCCATCATATTGTGTTGGAATTACATAATGTGCTGGAATTCCAATATAATATATAAGAAGTTTATACGTAGAAGCTCCATAATCCAGCATATTATGCTAGAACTTTCCGTATTTCAAATAAGATATTTTTGTCCAGATTTTATCTCCGTATAAAATAGTGACTATTTTTTAATGACGTTATAACTGCGAGCTATTGTTCCATTACCAGTCAGAAAAACACATACTATTTTTACTACATATTATGTACAACTATTAAAAAGAGCAAACGACTATCTAAGAAAATGCAACATATTATTGATTTCTTAGGCTCTCAACTTTCCTTAATTATACTAATTTTTGGCCAAGTATTTCTAACTATATGGATTTAATGAAGGTATTGTATTTAGTTGGTAAAGTCCATAGGCAATCATAATATGTGGTTGAAGGTTAGTAAGTGAAAGTCAATTTTCAAATTCTATTGAGGACTGAAATGGAGTTAAAAAGGAAAAAGATAATAACTCCACTTAGTTAAAAATAGATGTGGATGTAGTGGTAATAAAGAGTAGAGATTTCATGCACAAGGGTGTTGACCTAAAGATAATATTTGAGTTTTTAAAAAAAAATAATACTAGGTGACCTTTACATACGTATGTCTTAGTGGGCATTTGGACATAAGAATTGTAAAATATGGGAAAAAAGTGAAATTTTATTCATGTGAAAATGATATTTAAAAATTAAAGTTGTATTTGAACATAAATATAATTTTGGGTTGTTTTTGAATTTTTGTGAGTGATCTGAGTGAATTTTTTTGAAAAATAGCTTTTTGGAATTTTTTAAATTTTCAAAAAAATTTCAAAATTCATTTTCAAGTGAAATTGAAAATTTTATAGCCAAACAATGATTTCAAAAAAAAGTGAAAAATTTTCGAAAAAAAAAATAAAATAAAATTCATGTCCAAACGGGCTCTTAAGTTTTTGTAGATAGAGTTACGTAGAGCCTGTTTGGACATAAGAAAATTTTCCCTTTTTTTCAAATTTTTTTCACTTTTTTCGAAATCAGTGTTTGTTCATAAAATTTTTAATTTTTAATTGAAGATGCATTTTGAAATTTTCGAAAATTTGAAAAACTCCAAAAAACTGTTTTTCAAAATTTTCAGTCAAATCACTCACAAAACTTCAAAAACAACCCAAAATTATATTCATGTCCAAACAGAACTCTAAATTTCAAATCTCATTTTCACTTGAAAAAAATTTCACCCTATTTTAGAATGTTACAATTCTTACATTGAGACGCCCACTTAGTATTTATGCTAGTGAAAGATAGCAATCACTGATATATGGAGAATATAAATATTGGGTTTGTATGAATCTAAAATTATGGATACGGAACATAAAAATATATGTCAAAAATTATTAAAATTTTAATAAATCGTAATTTTTGACCTCATAATTTTAAAACTAATTAATATAATTTTAAGAATCTAAAGATTAAAACCATACTCGTTAAAATCAAAATCTGTCTTTAGTACCAGATATATCAAGAAATTATTAAAGTAAACATAAAATAATAAAATGGAGTAGAAAATTTTAGGTTTATGAAAAAGCCAAAGCAAATGTTTGATTATTAGGCGCTGACCCTATGCATTAGCTGCAACGTTGCGCAACCTTACCTTTAAATTTTGTGCATTTTGATGTTGACGTTTTAAGAAGCAAGAAAAAATAATTTAATAATCATAACAAAAATGACTTTTAAATGACATCATCTAAAACATCATATTCATATAAATAACACATAGTTTTCAACGTGTAAAAGGTTGTCGCTTTCACTGTGTTGGGCCACACTAGAAATTGGATTTATCTGACCCCACTTTCCGTGTTCCCCCTTTGGGTCTGAACTTCCCAGGTTTACATAAATTTTTCTTTTTTGGTGGTTTTTGTATTTTAAAGATTGGCTCTTGCATTTGATCATGCCACTGCCATAGAAAACATAATAAGGTAAAAGAAGAAAAAAAAAAGGAAAAAGTTCCTTTTTTTGGTTTTATCTAATTGTGGATTTACTTTTATGGTTCTTGCTAATTTGGGTTTTTGGTTTGAAAGATTGAATTTATATATGTGAATTTACATTGGGAATATAGTTTTTTGTCTGTCTTTTCTTGATTTGGGTTTTGGTGTTTGTGTAATTTTCTATGAGGTGATCTTGGTATTTCTTGATTCTACATTTAGTGATCTGGGTATTTTTCTTTTTTTTGCTATAAGGGTTGTAAGTAATCTCAGTTTCTTGATTTGGTAAGTTTGTTCATAATTGAGATTTTGATTCTGATAATAATTTTCTAATGTATATTGAGCCGAGGTCTTCTGGAAACAGCCTCTCTACCTCTTGTGTCCACAAGGTAAGGAGTAAGGTCTGCGTTCACACTATATTCCCCCGACCCCATACAGTGGAAATACACCGGATATGGTGTTGTGTATAAGAATTTGCTAATGTGTGTATATGATGAATTAGATAAAGGTGAATATGAATTCTGATTGAACTTCTTTAAAGATCAAGTCCTTTTGTTGTTTTGTGGTAGCCTACAAGTTTAGTGAGTTGAATTTCGTGAAAGTTTGAATCTTTTTTTTTTTTTTTTTTGGTTCTGAAATTCCTAGGTGTTTTGCTTGGAACTGGAGTGGATTGCTTTATCTCACTTGGGAGTGAATAGGTTTACAAATTTGGATCTCTAGGATATTAATTTGAGCATAAGGAGCAATTTTATTGCGTATTTGGATACCTTTTTTTAGGAAAAATCACTTTAGAGCAAGTCTGAACTTTGAGTAGAATTCTTGGAATTCTGGTAATTGCATTGATGTTTGGAGAGTTTGATAGTATCTAAGAGATGGTGTAATTTAGCTAGTTTTGGTGGTGGTGGGATGTCAATTGTTTCTCCACCTCCAACTTCTGCACCATTTCCTGTTCCTCCAATTGTCTTAACTCCACCTCCTCAGCTTTCTTCTCCGGCCCCTTCATCCCAGCCTAATGCAACAGCACCACCCGTATCTTCGTTACCTCCAACCTTACCTCCACAATCTGCTCCTTCAACGAATGCAACATCTCCTTCCCCGGCCTCACCACCTCTACCGCAATCCCCTCCTAACGTGACATCGCCTCCTCCGATGGCTTCTCCACCAACAGCTTCTGCTCCTCCAACAAATGATACAACTCCGACTTTTAGTCCTCCACCTTTACCTTCCTCACCTCCACCTCAATCTTCTCCTCCGCCTGCTAGTTCACCGCCACCTCAATCTTCTCCTCCGCCTACTAGTTCACCACCACCGGTGTCTCCTCCGCCTGCTAGTTCTCCTCCTCCTCCATCCAGCCCACCAGTTAGTTCATCACCACCTCCGAAAGTTGAGCCTCCACCTACCTCACCTCCTCCAGAACCAACTCCTCCGACAAATTCACCTCCACCGCCTCCAAAAGCTGATCCTCCTCCACCTATCTCACCTCCACCACAACCAGCCACTCCTCCAAGTTCATCTCCACCACCACCAAAAGTTGATCCGCCACCTACATCTTCTCCGCCACCTCCACAGAATCCGGATCCTACTCCACCACCACAATCTCCTGAATCTCCGGAAGGTTCATCCCCTCCGCCACCTTCGCCCGTGAATCCACCTCCATCACCAGTTTCTCCACCACCACAAGGTTCACCTCCTGCCCCAGCCTC